AAATATTGATGCTTTTTATTATTGTTATTTCTGTCCAAATAAATGTTGAAAATTCTGCTATGTTTTGACTCATTTGCTGGGCTCGGTTTTGACTTCTTTTGGGATTAAACGTAAGCTAGAAATTTTGCTCTGTTTTCCCCATTTGGTGGCTCGGTTTTGGTTGAATTTTAGCTGGAAGTGCTGCTTTTCTTTCTTCCCAATGTATTAGACTCATTTTGGCTCAAAAGTTTATCTGTTGTTAGCTCTCTTTTGCTGGGTTTAGTTGAGCTGAAATCATTTTTTTTATTTTTCATTTTGTTCAATTTGTTAGACTCTTTTTTTTTGGCTGGAACTCTATTTGTTTTGCCCCTCTGTTGGGCTCGGGTTTACCTTTTATGGTTATTTGTTTTGCCCCTTTGATTGGGCTCGTGTGTACCTGCTATGACTATTTTTGTTGCCCCTTCTGTTGGGCCCGGTTTATCTGTCATGGTTTTTTCTGTTGCCCTTTCCTGCTGGCCTCGGTTTACCTTTTACGGCTCTCTGTTTTATCCTTCTTGCTGGGCTCGGTTTGCCTGAGCTATTACGATGGTTGCCCTTCTTGCTGGGCTCGGTTTGCCTAACATGTCATTTTGTTTGCCCCTCTTGTTGGGCTCGGTTTGCTTGGAGATTCTCCGGATAACATTCCTCATGGAATTGTTGTTGATAACCAAGTTTGTCATAAAAAAAAAATGATTTTAATATGTGCTTCTATGTGGGAATGCTTGATATAAGCAGACCAACTCACTATCATGTCTTATTTAATGAAAATGATTTCAGTTCGGATGATTTACAAGTCACTCTCTTATGTATATCAAAAGAACATAATAACAATATATGTGGTGGCTTTCCCTTGTTGCCCCTACGCGTGAGCTTATATTGGGGGTTTGGTTCTACTTTTTCTTATCTTTACTCGTGGGCTTGTTATGTGGTTTTGGTTGTGTCTTTTCTTGGCCTTACTCGTGAACCCCTGTCTTCTTTCTTATCCCTACCCATGAGCCTATTGAAGTTTTATTCGGGCTCATTTTGCCCTCTTGATTTGCTCTGGCCATGAGCACTTATATATTCTTTAAATTGGTGTTACACTTATCTAATGTGAGAAGATTTATATAGATCTCTACTATAAATTCAAATCACGTGCGTTAATATTGATGTGGCTATATAAAGACTCTAACCACTCTTAGCACTTGTTCTATCTCAATTACATCATCTGAAATTGTCTTGTTTAGCGCTTTTGATTTTGATAAATCAAAAACTGATAAGAAAAAAAAACTCAACTTGTAGAAATTAAATTCAATTGTGAGTTGAATTTATGTGTTTCTCATTCCCCATTAAGTTTCTCATATCATTTCAATTATTTATTACCATTTAGGTGCAAATTTTGTAATTTCATATTTGCATTTAAATAAATTAAGATCTTAAAAAAATTAGTGATTTGCGATCCATAAATCTTCAATTTTCTTTACATAAAATCATACTTATGATGTGTTAATTGCATTAGAAAATCATAATCTAGTGTAATCATGCATCACTCAATACAGATTCAGATACACACTTAGAAATAATTGAGTAAAAATGACAAGAATACCTTGGTGTATTAATCAGCTCAGCTAAACTTCAAATTGCAGTTTGGAACCTTAGCTTGACAGTTTCATAACTTGGTACGCAGTCAACTGCAGGAATAAATACAAATATATTAGGAAAATTTACACACGTACCATACAATTATTACGTATTTACGTATCTAACACACAAATTTTGATATTTACACCTATAACACCTCGCTGTTATTAACCTGTGCATTAAAAGGTGTATTTCACTTCTAAAAAAGTATGTAAATGCACAAAACATGTAAATGTTTAGGTGTTAGATATGTAAATACCCAAAAAAATTATAGAAAGACAACCAGAACAAGGCAAAGCAAAGAAAAGACTTACCATCTCCCAGGCAAGCCATGGTAAGGGGTGAAGAAACCATCTTCTGAGCTAAATTGGATAAGTCATCTAAAGTAAGTTCATCCAAACATCTTAGAAAATGCTCCACTGGTTTCCTAAGAAACAGAACTAGAAATTCAAGCAACCAAAACAGTAGATGATATTGATGAGCAGGAAACTTCAAGCTACCTGGATCCATAAGTCAATATTTGCCTTCCAATATCCTCAGCAACAATAGACTGAATAGGGGAAAAAAAAAAGGGAAATTTACATAGGCAGCACACACTTCTCATGTATTTACAAATCTCACACCGAAACTATAATGTTTACGTATATCGCACTTTGGCGCTTTAAACCTATGCATGAAAATGTGTATTTCACCTTTAAAAAGCGGTAATAGCGCTATTTTTGATGCGTTGAAGATTTTAAGTGTTGTGTGTAAATATGAAAAGTTTAGGTGTGAGATGTAAATACATTAAAATTGTATGCATTGTATGTAAATGGCCCCTCAAAAAAAAAAATTTAATAAAAAAAGATCACTATAAGGGCCTTTAGAAAACTTAGTTGATAGAAAAGAAGGTTATGTAAATCTGTAAATACTCTAGACTCCAGATTCATCAAAATGGCTGATCTGGTAGCATTTTTCGCCCGGTCCAGCTCGACCTGAGTAACTGTGACCAGTGACGATTTATTAACGTATTTTTCTCAAAACCATCAGTTTCCTAAAAAAAAACAATGTTTATATAAAAAATTGAAGATGTACCTTGGCCAGGGGTTGCAATTGATTGCAACTCAGCCACAGCCACATCAACAGCTTTTGCCACAAAATCTGATCCCTGTATCAACAGAAACTCAGTCTCACAAAAGTTCTAATAAATGAAAAGAAAAAAAAAAGTTTTATATACATACCACTCAATTCTAACGTATTTACATATCAACATCTAAAATTAAATTTGTACATATGCAAGGAAATATTTATTTCGCTTTTAAAAGTTGAAAACAGTGGTAATTTTGAAAGATTTGGGTGGTAGAAATGTAAAAAATAATATTTAGGCGTTAGATATGTAAATATATTAAAATTGGGTATGTATGTAAATATCCCAAGAAAAAAAAAAGTACAATCTGCCATTCAAGAAGCTCAGATTTGCATTTTCATGACTAGGGTTGTAGAAGAGCCGAACACGAGCAAGCTCAGGCTCAGCTAGTTAATAATTTTGAAAGATTTGGGTGGTAGAAATGTAAAAAATAATATTTAGATGTTAGATATGTAAATATATTAAAATTGGGTATGTATGTAAATATCCCAAGAAAAAAAAATGCATAATCTGCCATTCAAGAAGCTCAGATTTGCATTTTCATGACTAGGGTTGTAGAAGAGCCGAACACGAGCAAGCTCAGGCTCAGCTAGTTAAAAAATATAACTGTTCGTGTTCAACTCGTTTATATTTTGAACACAAAAAATGTGTTCACGTTCGGCTCGTTTGCTTAATGAGCCGAACACGAGCTATTCACAAACAAAGAGTCACTTTGACAATCCTAGTCATGCGGTTGTAGGATGTTAAGGGTTGGAACACGAGCATGTTAAGAAGTTACAACAGATGTAGAGCTAAGAAACATTATTAGCATAGGAAAGCCTCAAACCATGTTCTTTTATTGCCTTTCTTTACATTGTTAATCATCTTTTGTAAACATAGTATTTCGTTGGCATCAATTTGAATCATAAAAAGATTTCATTTCGCATATATCGTATTCATTCTAGAATAATAAAAAAAAATCACTTAAAATTTCTTCTTCAACTAGATCAATAGTTGTAAATCTGGAATAGATTTCCTTGTAGCACAACTTAGCCATACAAGAGAATGAGCCTACTGACTTTGGGACTAAAGACCGCAAAGTTCAAGCGCCTACTGCTTGTAGGAGAGTTAGAACTACCAGCTGAAGAACGATCTGAAAGGATTGTCGCATTGTTTAAAAACGGGAATATGATGAAAAATATTGAAATATTCATTCTCTTATTCTTTTCATAGATTATTTCAAAGGACAAGAAAATTACGGAATTAAATGTATACACAAAAAATCTTCATGGATAGAAGGGTATATTAACAGGCCTTGTGAACCTAGAAAACCAATTTCTCAAAAGCACAATTGTCACGTAGGAGCTATACGGTTGGCTTGACGAACTCACCCGACGCAGTGCTAGTTGTCAGTACCAACTGCCGAGTTGACCTGTCAAACTCACCCGACGAAATGTCAGTTGTTGTGTACCAGTTGCTGGTTTAACTTATCAAATTTACAAGTCGAGTATCCCTCGATGGGTATTGTCGCAAAATAACAAAATGTCAGTTGTTGTGTACCAGTTGCTTCTAGGAACAAGTTTGTTCAGTGAGTTTTCTATATATTTTTTTCTGTTTCTAGAAACAAATTAATGTATTTTTTAAATACTAAAAAAAATTTTAGGTATTTTGAATGTTTATAAAAACAATCAAATCTAAATCAAATAAACCGGGCAAGTTTTGTTTCAAATCAAAATATTAGCAAAACAAAATAAAAATAAAAATGATAAACAATAATGATCCCAAACGGCACCTACGATTTTAACCTTCGTTCCGTTTAAGAATTACATCAGAAATTACCATTTGCAAGTTTAACTCATGATATCCTTTATAGGCAACTTCAAGTGCTTAAATGAAACAAAGCACAAGATCGCCTACATCAGTAGTTAGCATTCATCTCAAAACAAAATTTAACTCTCCATAAATTTCTTCTTTACATCACTCATAGATCCCTCTTTGTTGACAAAGTTGATTCAAAATTATCATTCTATTCAAGAATCGAAAGCTTTGTATGTATGTGCTTAATATTAAGGAAGTTTTAAAAGCATGCCACTCAATTCCTATATATTTACATATCTAACACCAAAGCTTCAATTTTTACAAGCTTTGTATGTATGTGCTTAATATTACGGTTGTATGAATATTCAACTTGGAATGGGAGGGACATAATAATTAAGCTTTCATTTACTACGAGGCTATGAATGGGCATAAAAGCACATTGACAAACTTGTATAGATGATTCCAAGTATGTCATACCTACCCAAATTTTGCAGAAGTAACTTTTTCATGTTATTGAAAGATAACCTTCTCTACGACTTCCATTTCAGAGACAGCATAGCTGGTAAGTTCAAATATAGACACTCCAAAATGTGGAACAGCCTATCAAAGATGAAACCGTTATTTATCCAAGATAGACATTTTCTTTCATAACAGAAACCGCCATCAGAAAAAAATAATTTTTTTCCTCAAAAATAATTAAATATACATGTTTCAACATGGTACTTTTCAGTAACAGAAATCTTTTTTTTTTTCAGCTAAATGTAGCTATTTTTCAGAGGAAGACGAACTCTGAATAAACTGTACAATCGAATCACATCTAAGAGAGCATAAAGATTATCATCACCAAGAAATGGTTCATTTTTCACTAATAAATAGATGGGAATTTGACATACATACAACAAAATTCTTATTAAATACCTAACACCTAAAGTTTGATCTTTACATTTATAACATTTTGGTGTTATAAACCTTTGAATGAAAAGGTGTATTTAATTTTTAAAAAGTTAGTAATAGTGGTGTTTTAAATATGAGTTGAAGTTTTGAGTGATATTGCATGTAAATATCAAAATTTAGGTGTTAGAGAAGATATAAGAATTCTATGGTATGTATGTAAATGTCCATAAATAAATTATACATGGGATATTTCTTACCGTGGTTGAAAAAATTCCAAAAAGACCGGTGTCATTGAACATGCTACTAAAGGCAGAAAAAGAATGCACTTGTTGATACTTGTTGAGAACACGAAGGTCTGCAGTCAATTGAGTATACTTTTGCTTCAATTAAAGGAAAAAAACAATTCTCAACAGAAGATATAAGTTCAAAAAACAAAAAAAAGGTTGACAAAAAGTTGCTTAAATTAAAATATAAAAAAAAACCATATTTTATAGAACCAATATTTTACTTCTGAATAACAATATCATATCCATTTTAGCTGGGACCCAGACAAGAAAGCTAGTTTCAATGCTACTAGTGCTTCATCAGCTTTTGTACCCAATTTGATTTCTTTAATTCATTTAGTTTAGAACATTACTAATTTTTTAAAAGAATCAAGTATTTTATATGAACAAATTACACGTCCATATGCATAAAAAATACATTTCATTCAGAAGACTTATTATCAAAGCTAAAATCAGTAAAGCTAACGATATTCTCAATGTCGCCAGTTAGAGCTGTTTAAAATCAAGTCTCTTCATAGAATTTTGGAGATATTGTATACCATTGTGTTGAGAAATTAAAAGGTTGATTTGGGTGGTGATTTTTTAATGATTTATCATTAAGTTCTAAGCAAAGATTAGATGCTTTAACTCGAATAAAGTTACAACATTATTACTATCATAAACAATGCTAGCCTTATCCCAAGTACTTGACGTTTCACCTTATGAGTCTCAACATTCTTCATTCAAACATGTAGAGTACTGCTTCAGGTTTTAAATATATTTTGCATAAATATTTTTGCACAATTTCTGTCCGAGTAATTTGTAATTTATCCCCTTTCTATCATAATTTTTCCATATTAGTTTTTATCATTCATCCTATCAGTGCATCTCCTACCATTTGTTCTACATGCCCAGACCAGCCAAATCTATGCTTTACTTGATTAGCCTCCATGGATGCTTCACCTCCTATAGACCCTCCCATATAATTATTGTTCAATCCAACCTTCCTAATTTTGTCATCATTCATTTCTGCTAAATGCAGCTTGGTTATAACTAAAGGAAATTTACATATGTACCACACAATTCTTATGCATTTACACATCTAACACCTAAAGTTTGAGTTTGATATTTATGATATTTACATTTATAACATCATGGTATTAAAAATCTATGTATGAAAAGATGTAATCCACTTTTAAAAAGTTAATAGTGATTGATGTATTATTGATGTGATGTAAAAGATTTAAGTGTGATATTTGTAAATACGAAAGTTTAGGTCTCGGATATGTAAATACATAAAAATTGTAAGATATGTCTGTAAATGCCCCAATTACTTACAATGACTTTCTTATCACCCATGAGGGTAACAACCGTTGAGGAAATAGGGCCATAAAGAATTCATGGAAACCATATGAACAATATCAAAGAGCAAAGTTTAGTTATAGGATGTGCAAATATAGTTAAATAATTCTCTTAAGCTATTGTTTCAGAAAAATTGGGCAAAAAAAAAAAAATAATAAGCAATCAAGCGGAATTCTCTCTTTATAAAGAAGATAAAACACAACTTGTAAATAGCATTCCTATCTTAAATGCTAAATTAACGATTCTGACTACTTGGGAATAAAAATAATACTGAAGTCATTAAATGGTTTAGCTTTTACTTTTTGCCCACATCATTCTTCCCCATTTAGGACTTTAAGAACAGGAACACTAGTTCCCACCAAAAAAAAAAAAAAAGAACATGAATGTTATTTTTATCTTAATGTTAGATAACTTGCCCCCATTACATATAGTGTTTTATTTTAGTGAGATAAATTGTAGGCCTTAAGGCATTTTGAGGTGTAAGCCTCAAAATTAAACAATTAAATAAATTTATAATATGAACAATAAAATATTTGCGAACAATCTGGCTTAAGATTCAATAATAAGTGACATCATAAAAAGTTGAGCTTAGTTTTATCTCAATAAAATATTTGCAAGTAGTATAAGAGTGTCAAAACAAAAATCCAAAAACATCATATAAGCATTCAATAATAAGCAAGAAGTCTTAAGATAAACATGAAAACAAAAACAAAATTAAAAAATTAAAAAAAACATGTCCTAAAATAAACTAGTTAAATTAGGACTTCAAATATAAGTAATATCATTTACAGTGTCTTCATTAGAATCATCATCATGGTCGATTGCCTTATTGCCTTCCTCACTCTCACTTAAATCAACATCCACTCAATCTGTCTTCTTAAATACCAATTCTCTTCTTCTCTAAGCAACAAAATCCAATAAGAATAATATATAAAATAATGCCTATACTTGTTCTTATTCCTTATTTCATCAACAAAGTCAACATGGAGCTTGCTCTATTGATTGCAATGGTAGAACTCCATTTTCATCATCCACAAATAATTTATCATCCAAGGGCAAATTATTAATAACCAAGTGAATAGGGCTGTAAACAGGACGAGCTAGAGCGAGTTTAGGCTTGGCTCGTGTTCGGCTCATTCGAAATAGCTCGTGTTCGAAATTGGCTCGTGAACAATGTGTTCGTGTTTGGCTCGATTTAAATATTCGTGTTCATGTTCGGCTCATGTTTGACTCGAAATTGGCTCAGAAAAATCAAATTGAAAAAAATAGATATAGTGTGAGATTCGAACCTGGACCAAATATATATAAAAAAAGGTACTAATCACATTATCACACGAGATGTTATGATTTAAGTTATGATTTAAATTTAGATACAAATATATATAATATATTATTATATAAATAATATATGTAATATATTATTATATAAATAATTATATATTTTTTAAATTTTGAGCTAAAACGAGCCGAACAAGAACGAACAAAGAGTTGTTTATGTTCGGCTCGTTTATAATTCGATCTTTAAAAACTTGTTCGTGTTCGACTCGTTTACTTAACGAATGAGCCGAACACGAGATGTTCGCGAACAACGAGTTTTTTTTGACAGCCTACAAGCGACATTCATCATCCTCTAAAACTTTCGTGCAAACCCTAAAGTAAGCACACCTCATTACATGAGCTTTAAGGCCAATTGAAGTAAATGCTATCTTCTCCAACTTTGACATGCAAGCGTCACGGCAAATTACATATGCCTCACCCAAAGGAGTGTGTTAAAGCACGCCTCAAATTGTGTAATTTACCCAGAGTTGAGAAAAAAAATTCAATCTTCATATTTTTTATTTTTTTAGCTCATTTCTTAATTATTATTATTCTTATTTTATATAAATAAATATATATATATATATATATATATATATAGATATAGATATATATAAAATAAGAAGATTGAAATTACATATTTTTGTATTACATAATTTCGTACATCTAAAATAAGCATATCTTAGAAAGCCTAGAGTCTAAGAAGTCCTACATCAGCAATAGCATAATTTTACATCAACCTTAGGAAGCCTAATGTCACCTTCATTATAAACTACAACTTAGCCTTGATATTTCAATTTAGAAATAAATTCTTTTATGTGAAGCCAATAGGTTAGTTTTACATCTCCATTAAGAAATATTGACTTTTGTAAGGCTGTGTAGGCTCCATAGTCAACCAATCTTAACCCAAATTAAAGCCAAGGTTTTAAAAATCGGACACCGGCAAGTCTGACCAGTTCAACCAAAAACCAATCCTCTGACCAATTCAAAATTCAATCCTACCACAAAACTGCTTCTGCACAGAACCTGGCAAGACTGAATCAATCTAATTTTTTATGAATTGCCAATTCTAATATTGATCGATTTTTTGCCATTTGATTTTGATCTGAGAAACATAAATTAAAAAACTAATAATTAAAATATCATGTCCCAAAATTCTAATTTAGACTGATATTCATATATTAAAAATATGTAAGAGTGAAGCATCTTAAATTAGAACATTGTATATTGAATTTATCAATTCACACCCTAATTTAGCCTCTAATGAACTGCTGAATTTGAATCACTCAATCCAGTAAACCAGCCCAATTTTCAAAATGTTGCTTAGAGCTATTCAATCCATTCTCAAGTATAGCCAAAAGATGGCTCTACCAAATCTCAATTCAAGAAAAAGCCAATTGATTAATTTTGATTTAAGCAAAAACCAAGCAGAAAATCAACAAATAATTTTCCTTGATAATTCAACCAAGGGGATCATAACATAAAATTGAAATATTGTTGAAGAAACAATAATTTCCCAGCCATAAAGTTCAAACAAGGCAACTATAGCACAGAGAAAAAAATAAAAGCGGGACAAAAAAAAAGAAATTTATACAAAGCCAGCGATAAAAGCCATACATAACCGAGAATGCATCCCTTTCCCAGGACCACCGGCAGAGAATGAGCCACCACCACCCATCAAAGTCTGTCAAAAATAAGCACCATGATACAAAAACCATCGAAAATCTGAAAAGTAAAACTGCAGTTAGGGAAAAATGAAAGCAGTTTTGGTTGTAATATGGCACGGAATGAGTTGAAATTTCACCAATGAAAAGAACAAAAGTAAATTGTACAACGTTCAAAGAAGCATCTTTTGATCTAAGAATTGTATGGCACAATACACAAAGCAATTATATGACTAATGAAATCTGTATTTGAAAAAAAGGCCTAATAGGGGAACTCAAATTTCATAAATTTTAATATCCACAAGTTATATGCCCATGAAAGAAAACAATTTTAGCAGCTTAAGAAAAGCACTCAGATCAAAGGAAAAATATAAGAAAGCTATAGGGAAGGTAAGAACATGTACAACAGCTGTAGCAAATGAAAGCATATAGGGACTATAATGGAAGAATTAAGATGAAACAAAATGAGAAAAAAATTACGGTAAATGTCGAATGGAAAAAGGTAAGATAACCTTATATAAACACCAAGTTTGCAAATTTACACACGTAGCACACAATTCTTATTTATTTACATATCTCACACCTAAACTTTCATATTTACATACATAGCACTTTGGTGCTTTATACCTACGAATGAAAAGGTGTATTTCACTTTTAAGAATTAGCTGTAGATAGGGTTGTAAACGTCCGAGCATGAGCAAGCTTAGGCTTGGCTCGTGTTCGGCTCGTTCGAACGTGTTCGTGTTCGAAATCGACTCGTGTTCGAAATCGGCTCGTGTTCAAAACCGGCTCGTGAACATTGTGTTCGTGTTCGACTTGAAATTGGCTCGTCAAACTTAAACAAAAATAAATAAATGTAAAGTGTTGGATTCGAAGAAGCGTTGGATTCAAACCTGGACCAAATGAATGCAAAAAAATGTGCATAACCACATTACCAAACGAACATTTATGTTTTAAACTTAGATATAAATATATATAATATATTATTATATAAATAATCTATGTAATATATTATTATATAAATAATTATATATATATTTTTTATTTCGAGCTAAAACGAGCCGAACACGAGTGAACAAAGCGTTGTTCGTGTTCTACTCGTTTATAATTCGAGCTTTTAAACACTCGTTCGTGTTCGGCTCGTTTATTTAACGAACAAACCGAACACGAGCTGTTCGCGAACAACGAGCTTTTTTTTCAAATACGAGCTGTTCGCGAACAACGAGCTTTTTTTACAGCCCTAGTTGTAGGTCAATTTTTTATGTGATATCAAAATAAAATCTGAAAGGCATTTATGTAAATATGAAATTTTAGGTGTGAGATATGTAAATACACAAGAATTGTGTACAATGTATGTAAATGCCCCCTAAAAAAAGTAGAGATTTTTCAAAGAAATCAATTATGAAACTCAATTGCTCTGAAACCTGCAAAACAGTCAGCGCCGTTGCATTTTTGTCATCATGCCAGCCACCTGGAACCTCGAATGCGATCGCCACATGAGTTCGCTGCCAACAAAAGATCGGTAAGATTCCGCTAACAGAAAAATTTGGTACAACGAGATTTATCATGAAGGGAAATTTACATGCATACCACATGGTTCTTTTGTATTTCCATACCTAACACCTAAACATTCACATTTACATGCAATAATAACACTATTAACATCACATCAAAAACGGCACCATCAGTCTTTTTAAAAATGAAATATACCTTTCTTTTTCATGCATAGGTTTATGAAACCAAAGTGTTATAAGTGTAAATAGTATACTTTGGATGTTAGATATGTAAATACATAGGAATAATGCGGTATGTATGTAAATGCCCCTATCCTCAATGGCATAATTCCACGGTACCTCAAAATCATGCCTGAATCTAGCCTCTCCACCATTATAGCTAGATTTTGGCAAAGAAACAGGGAGGCCGCCCTTTAAGTCATACAAAAGAGGTTCTGCAATGGCCAACAAATGTTCATGTTCCACCCCAAATGCCGCCAAAACGATTCGATCGGCAGTATAATTTTCCTAAAAAATTAATATTTAAACAGTAGCATTCTGTATAACCATTTTGCAAAATTCAGTTTCAGAATGTGAAATCTTACAAAATAAAATTTCCCTATAACAGATCCATCAAGCCTTTGTAGTGCTGTCTCAGAAGGCATCATTGGATTTCCCAGCGAACCAGAGTAGCCTGTAACATGAAGTGATTCCAGAAGAAACTGTTGTGGATCCTTACCAGTAATTTCATGAATTTCTTTTTTCGCATTCGCCACCTGTTCTTCGACCTCAAAGTCGAGAAAAAGTGGGTTCCTGAGGCAGTCAACAAGTAATTCAACTGCCTCAGGAATGTAAGCCTTTAAAGTGTCGTATATATATGCCATTTGTTCGCGTGACCCAGAAGCTCCTGCATTACCGCCAGTTGCTTCAATGTCGCGCACAATGTGCTTACAGCTTCGATTTTTCGTACTTTTGAAAGCGAGCCTTTCCAAAAGGTGGGTTACACCAATATAGTCCCCTGTCTCATATACAGAACCAGAGTCCACATATATCCCTACGGAAGCAGCAGGACCCTGTCACAAAGTAACAAAATATAGTCGGGGCATTTACATACATAACATCCAATTCTATCTATTTACATATCTAACACCTAAGCTTTGCTTTTTACATTCCTATCACCCAAATCTTTCATGGCGCATCAAAAATACCACCGTTTTAACTTTAAAAAAGTGAAAAACATCTTTTCATGCATGCGTAAGGTGGTCTCTATGAAAAATTTGAAGTTCATGTGTTCAATATGTAAATAACATAACAAGATAAAATTCTACATTTTTCCATACAAGAATTTTAAAGAAAAAAAACACCAAACATCAAAAAATATATACTTAAAATGTGCAATGCAAGCAATGAATCCTAAATTGTGTTGATTCCCGTGATAGCAGTATCAAAGAAGGGGCATTTACATACATACCACACAATTCTTGTGCATATATATAATACCTAAACATTCATATTTACATACATATGTTGACCTCATTTTTAGTGAGGTCTAGTTTTCTTCTTAGGGTTTAGGGTCTAGCCTTAGGAATTTTCATTTGATTATCTTAGAGCCCTTGAGATGGAACCCACCTCATTTTAGAAGTTCAAACCACTTCTTTACTCTTTTGGAGTTCCGCATATGTGTTTCTTCACCTCTAGTACTTAGGAGGTTGAAACCAATATGAATGAACTCAAAAGAAGTCCTCATAAGACCGTTAAGCCCTAGGGTTGCCTCATACACAATTTGCACCTCCACGAGCAAAAATTTTGCAATTCAGACCGTCAACACATTAAATATTGCAATTTACGTCACATACGTCTTTATATGTTGCATAATTAATCGAAACTTAAAAAAAAAATTGAAACTATTGATCGCGAGCCCGAAATTTGGAGAAAACCTAATTTGACATGTTTTTTTACTTAATTGTCGAGGAGGTTGCCCGAACGACCTTGGATGACGAAACGGACTGCACCGGCGCTTACAGAACGTCGAATTCACCTAAGAAGAACACCCATTTTGATATGGTTCCGTGCATAAGCGAATAGTGCGTGAATTGCGAAATTTTAATATTTAAAAAAAAAGCAAATTTCATTTTACCTAAATCCCTAAACCCAAACTCACGCACCCGTAGCTCCCCTTTCTCTCGGCCGCCAACCAAACCCTAATCAGCACCCTTCCATTTCGTGAAATCCGACCGAACCTCCTCCTCGCTGAGCAGCCCTCTCCTCGCGAAGTTTCGGCTTGATGTCCCCTCCCCAGTGCTCTGGTAAGGCTTCCACCTACTCCCTGTCGTGCTCCGGCTTTTTGCTCGCCACTCCCACTCCTGCGTCTCTTGTCACTTCTCGCACGTCGCCTGCAAGTCTCAGCTCACCCCCAGGTAGGTTTGGGTAAGCTCTTCTCCTCTCCTCTGGCTATAACCATTTGGGGAGGTCTTTCGGGTTGGCCGAAATTTGGGGGGGGTGGTTCTTTTCTCTAGGTTGGTTCTTCACTAGATTGCTTAGTGTTTGGTTTTCCTTGCTTCTCTTGAACAGGAAGGCAAGGTGAGTCCTCTCCTTTTTCCTCCCGTTCGCTTCTTACATTTATGTTACTAGCTTATTTTGAGCTTGAGGTCATTCATATACATATTGATTGGTGTTGTGAAAGGGATGAGTAGTTGATGCAGTTTTTATTTTGGTTGGATTGATTAAAGGTGTCGTGACTGATATTGAATGGGCGGGTTTAATTGTTATTCTCATGGGCTGTTGAAGTCGATCCTCTGGCTATGTGAAATGCACGATTTAGGTCCTTTTTCCCTCTTCCTCTTTAGCTGTTAATGTGACATCTATTTTCACGTTGGTAAATCATTAGTCGTGAATTAAGAAGTTTCACAATACTTTGCAATTTTGAATTGCTGGAATGAATATTTCAATTAGAATTATTCCTGTAAAGATGTATATTGCACATTTTCCTGAATATTGTTAAGATTGAAAAGGGGCTTAAATGTTGAGCCAATACTTGCATAAGACTCAAATCCTGACACGATTTGTGTAAAATTTAGCGATTATTCATATGTATAATACATGTTCGTTAGTTGAAATTATGTATAAGGAATTTTGTTTCATCTCCAAGTAGGTATATATCTGGCATATGAAATTCTTGCTTGGATCTCCTTTTGTTCTTTACCGAACCTTACATTCTTCTTCCACCCTTTTCTTTGAGCAATTGGGATTAGTGAGCTTGTGAAATTTTCTTTCCACTGTTTAGTTGAAGTCCACGGCTGGGATGGCTTTCAGTTGATGGATTCTTGCTTGGACTTCGGTTTTAATTGCTGGATAAAACTTCATTTTATTGAAGTTAAAGTTCAAGCTTCTTTTAGTTGCTGGATTCTAGCTTGAGATTTGGCTTTAATTGCTTAATTTATTGAAGCTGGAGTCCACAGCTAAGCTCGCATTCAGTTATTGGATTCTTCTTTTTTAATTGCAGGATTCACTCTTCATTTACGGGAATTAAATTTGATGGCCTGATAGCATTGGTATTAATTTCGATATGCCTATGGGGAGACTTACATACATGCCACCTAATTGCTGGATATTTGCATTGCACATAAAACAAAAAATGGAGATTTACATACATGCCACCCGATTCTTAAATAACTGCATATGAAACATAGGCTTTTATATTTACATAATTACCATCTAGTTCTCATATATATTTACATATATACCGCCGAAATTTCAAATGGTTGTTTTCTAATCTATGTTTGTGTCAATTTGAGAAGATTTAGGGGGGCTTTTATACATTGATTTGGGAACTTTAAGCGCTGATTTTTGGAGGTTTTTATACATCGATTTGGGCACTTTAAGTGTTGATTTTTTGGAGGCATTTATACATTGATTTGGGCACTTTAAGTGCTGATTTCTGGAGTCTTTTACGCACCTTTTGGGACTGATTTGATCATTATTTTAGGCCGATTCACTTGCGGTTTTGCCCCTTGCTTCGCTGATTTTTTTTAGAAGTGGGTTGGCCTCCTTCTACATAGATTTGCTTTTGTTATCTTTTTACTTATCAGATGTTAGCTGATTTTTTTTAGAAGTGGGTCGGCCTCCTTCTACATTGATTTGCTTTTGTTATCTTTTTACTTATCAGATGTTAAGTTAAGAAAATGAGAATTTCTGATTTAATTATTTTGAAAACACTTAAGGATATTTCAAGATTAGTTGGAAAATACTTAATTGAGGGTAAAACATCTTAAATCACTTCAAGCTCAGGTTACTTTCTAGATTTTATGAGCACACTCTAAGTGTAATTCATCTAATTAATTTTCAAATGAATGATGAAACTATGCACTTGACTTTAATTCATAAGTTGATTAAAACACTAAACATGAGGATACACCAAGATGTGATTCATAACTTCCTTAATTAAATCAAGTAGTGAAATTCCCGCCATGATTTAACTTACAGTGAAGTCCGATGCTTCGGGATTTGAGCTTAAGTCTTACACTCAAATTCTCCCGACTATTGAGGACATTTCTAATTTCACATATAAATCACACTCCTAATCCTTTATACGTGACATCGTGTTTTGTTTTACTAATTCGTGTTTTTTTTTTATGATTTTAGAATTTCTTATACCGGATTTTCTAGTAATTTGTTTAAATTTCCTGCAATTTGTTGTTTTGTTATTACATTATTTATTTTAATGCACTTACTAAACTCCTTGGGTAGTGAACAGTAAGACATATGTTAGAAGGTACACCAGACCCTTGAAACCGAACAATAATTATACTTGCAAATACAAAATATAAACTAAACTTGAAGTCACTACAGTTTGGAGCTTGGAACAAGTCTTTGTAGGTAGCACGACAGAGAAGCAGCAGATGGAGGATGACGATCTACAATAACATATATTTTCCTAGTTTAAATAACAAGTTTTAGGACTTCGAGGTGGTATGTCTAGCACGACATAAATCCTCACATTTTCTTTAGACTCTTGCACAATCATGTTGTGCGGCATGAGTCCTAACTCGCTTTAGGCTCTGATATTGTCGTTTGATACAACATAAATCATCCTATCTTCCAAGTCATTTGTATGATCGTATTATACAAATATAAATCCTAAATAATAAAACTGACAGGATGAAACACTAAATAATATCTTCTCAAAATTAAAGTCAAACAAATTGAATAGTTGGGAAGTCATTTGAGGTTCTTCTCAAAATTTATGACATCCCCAACTTTTTCGTTCCTTTGAACCCAAAATAAATTGTTCTTATTTTGAGTCATTCATTCTTGATTTTCCTGTGTCCATCCTTGAAAACTTAAACTTTGAAATTCTTGAAAGCAAAACCACTGATATTAATTGAGAGTATTCTTATGTAACTTTGGTCTTTTAAGATATAATTAACTATAAGGGTTTGTCTCTATAGGGAACTTAAAAACCCAGCTAAACCCTATTTAATCTTCCATATTAAATAGGAGAACTTGTCAACTTATTAAAAAATAATTTCACAGGCCAAACGGATGTCATGAATTCTATAGTTTATTTAATCGAGCATCATCATCAAACAATGTATTCATTCCTCGAGATAGATGCATCGTTTGTGGTATTGCGCTCGATCATTAAACCATTAAATATATGAGATTACATATCTCTCAAATATTTACCATCACAAAAAATACCACCATTAACATCTTTTTCAGAAGTGAAATAAAACTTTTCACCACTATTTTTCTAAAATCATATATATATATATATATATAAAAGTCCTTCCGAAGCGGGCGACGGGATTTCGATTCCGGCGACCGAACATATCTTTCAAATATTTACCATCACAAAAAATACCACCATTAACATCTTTTTCAGAAGTGAAATAAAACTTTTCACGAATAGATTTATGGCATCATGATGTTATAAGCGTAAATATCAAACTTAAGGTGTTAGATATGCATACACATAAGAATTGTGTGTATGTAAATTTCTCAAAATAGAATTTAAGCTTAACGGTAACAGCCATAGGAATCAAAATTTTAAAAAAAACCAAAATAAGAAAACAAAAAACTTCCCTGCAAAATGCTGTGAGGAGAATCAAGCCAATACAATCATTTCCTCAAGCAATGGTGCATAAAATTTTAACATGTAAAGATATTTCTTACCGGGGCATCCTCTGAAGCAATTTTTAAGCCGTTTGGAAGTGTCGTGATCATGGTTGGATTTTGTTCGACAAAGTCGGGAAGACAAGGAGAGAGTTTGATCCCAGGTAAAGGATGAGAAAGAGAAGGAAAGCGGTTTTCATAATTTCCCATTGTGCACAAAAGTGACTCATTTGACAGATATCGAGACACAATTTTAGGGCAATGGATCCGCTTAGGTTGCACACCACCAACTTCAGTTCGATTAAATCCATTTTGGAGAAACTACCAGAAAAAAGAACAGCATGAGAAAATGAAAAAAGAATGTCCCGATCATCAATATGAACTCAAGTTAGTAACATAAGTGACAACTGAAAATGTAAAATATTCTGATAATATAAGTATGAAGAATACATAAGGAAAAAAATTAATAATACCTTGAAAAGAAGAGAATATCCAGTTATGAGTGCATTATTGATACAAATATGCAAATTTCTGATTGATGAAAAAGATAACCATAGATAGATTTACCGGCTATATTTCCTCAAACTGTGAATTTTAAAAGTGCAAAACTCAGCAATATTTACCTGACTCTCCTAGAAAAGCAAATAGATAATCATTTGCTATTTTAAGAAAATATAGAGTCATGGTTTTCTCCAACACAAAAGGGCCTGTGCAACAAACTTGCATCTAGGCTAGGCTGCTCACAAATGCTATTCTAAGCACTAAACCATAGAACTAACTTGCTCATGTAATTTCATAAATCACAAAATCCGGTTATGCTGAACAACAATCAAATTCAAGTATGCCAAGTACTGAAGAACAGTTTCTCGGTGGAATTAGTGCTTACATAAAACACGGCAAATCAAATTAGACCAACATTGACTCGTGAACTAATTGTGCCTCAAATGTAAGACCTTATGAGGCTTTATGATTAAAAGTAAGATTTAATTATCATCTAAAACCATATCTAGGAGTTGTCACAAGCGGTTGTAGCTTTCTGTAAAGATGATCGTAGATTTGTTGGGGGAAAAGCAACTTTGAAAGCTATTGTGAGTATTTAATCTATTTTTATTTTTTAATAGATTAGACAAAGGTTTCTAACAGCTACTACCTTATAACAGATATAGTACTCAAGCCTAGGTTTCTATCACAAAAATTTCTAGAAAACAACAAGAAAGCAATAGCCGAACGCACGCGTGGCAGCTATCTTAATAAAAAAAATTAAATATAGCTTGAGATGATTAATATTTGAAATCCGATTGGCACAATAATTGTTAAATCTTGCAAATTCTATAAATTGCTTGGCTACTTGTAAAAGGATTTCAAATTTGCAATGGGAGAAATCTTTGAATCCATTAAATCCTACCAATTATGGGATTTAACAAATAGTGAGGCCTAAACGGAATGGGATTGATGAAAAACAGGATTTAAAATTCCAAAAATTATTCTTAGAGGCATTTAAGCTAAATCTTACTCAAATCCTTGCATAAAATAGGTTAGCAAGCACCACATTAACTTGGATTAAACAATCAACCACATTCTTCAGAATCCAAAACCTAACAAGTAGCTCAAACTTCAAACTTCATAATATTTGTTCGTTGTCAAGCCATATACCTATAAAAAAGACGCATTTTTGTCCTTCATCTTTATACGTCATAAATAATATTATATCATTATAATATGAAAAAAGAAAAAAAAAAACCTAAGCTTTTCTTCCATGAATAATCTGCAACAAACTTTCAATTACATTATCATCACCTATTTCCAACCTAATGCAACGCTCCCAAAATAAATTCAATAATTTAAGTGGCGCAAAGCAAATTGAAGTTGTTGATTCATATTCCGTTCAAAGATCCATCCAAATATCACTTTATATAATCAATAATTTAACCTCCTGAGCTCCAAAATAAATAAAATAAAAACATCAAACAACTCTCAAACCTCAGCTAAAATCAAAGGGCGCGTTAACGAAGCATGGAAGAAAATGGAAAGTTAGCTGCAAACTGAAAACTCATCGCGAGCCATGAGAAGGTAAGTCGCAAGTGGCACTGTGAACATTTCAAGCCATGGAAAGCTTGCGAGTAAGAACACAAACCTTGCTTAACGGAACCCGATTCCAGAACCTAACCATTCTGTAAACCTGAAATGTCGAAGTCCCTAGTGCTTCAGGTTTTCCGGCGGCCACTCAACAAAGAAAGAGGTGGGCGAGAGGATGGAGACCGATGTTCTCCTCTACGGACGGATGGTTTTCTGCGTTTGGGCCCTTCAACACCACTTGGCCCAACATATTGTTTAACTGGACTCAAAATTTTGACTTAAAGTTGGCCTGTATATTTTTTTTGCGCCTGGTTCGAGTTGAACCCAACACAAAAAAAAATTAATTATACTATTTATTCTTATGTCATTTATTGTCATATATAAATGGAAAAATTTTTCTAACTTGCCCACCGTTATTTGTTAAATGTTAGAAGTATGCTTTTTAATAAAATTTGAGTTGTAAGGTTAAGCAGAGTGGGTTCGAGTTAACAGTGTTTGGGTCTAGTCTGATCCGGGTTGAGCTTTTTGATTCGCTTATTATTTGGGTCGGTTTCAGGTTAACCTCATTCGGATTGGGTCATATTGAGGTGGTATCGAACCCGACCTGCTGACCCGAATTGACATCCCTTAGATTGGATTTTACAACTACTTTTAATCATATTTTGCATCTTAAATTTAATGTAAAATAAAAATAATAATGAATTGTCAGATATTAAGAACTCGCGATCCCTTAAGGTTGATTCATACTTGGATTCAGGTTGGATTTTTTCAAATGTTAGCTTAGTAACTGGGGTCCTATTTAGTGTCATATTGAGTCATTTTTGTCAATACCCCAAGTGGGGTCAGCTACATGATTTTTTTTTTTTTTTCATTGCGTCATATTGAGTGTATATTTTCATTTACTTCTAATAAATTAAGATCGAAGTCTTTCTAGGTCTACCTTTGTTTTTCTTAACATAAAATGAATTTAAAACATCTACTTTCCTAACCGGATCATCAAATGTTCGTCGTTTAATGTGACAAAAGCATCTAGGAACACGCTCTCTAATTTTATCCACCACAGGAACTACACTAACCCTTTCACAGATATATTCATTTCACATTTTTTTCTCTAACTGTAAAGTCACTCATCCACCTATGTTTCTCATCTTGTCAACACTTAACTTAATTTTATGCTTCTCTCTTAAAGGTCAACATTTTGTGACAGATCCGTAGAATTTATCTTTCAGTCAAAGAGATACTTTTCTATCACACAAAAAACCCGAAGCACTCTTCCACTTCAACCAACCAAATTGATTTCTACTAATAGCATCCCCTTCTACATCACCTAAAACACGATTGAGATATCTCAGGCATTTAGACCTTAGATATATCCCCATAGAAAGGATATCAACAGCAAAAAGCATAAACCAAGGTACATCCTCATGCAAATGTCCAGTAAGAGCATGAAACTATACCTTTGAGCGTTGAAGCGGGTGAGTCAACGGAGCTGCGGTCACCGAGGCACTAGAGTCGCTTGGAGAGGGGAGGGGATGGTTAGGGCACTAGGGAGAGGGAGAAACCAAGAGGGATCGAGGATTAAGGCAAGTTTGGGGGCGAAGCGAATTTCAACACATAAATGATTCTTTATGACGGCTTACAAACAACTTCAACTCCATAGGTTATTAATATTAATACCAACCACATTGACCAGCGGTTACTAAAAAAACTTGTCGCTTAATGCCCAGCTAAATGCCGGTTCCTAAATAATCGAAGAATATAACCGTCAATTATTATGTACTTATAAATAACAGTGAAATTCATTAGTTATAATAAAAACCGTCGAAAACTAATCTACTATTCACAAGCGACGATATGTTATGTTGTTATGCCGTCGTAAATAACTCAACACATAAGTCATTATAAAACCGTCGGAAAATAAAATATTTTTATCGACGAAAATTTAAGTCATTGATTATAAAGTTTTTTTTCTTATCGCCAGTATTTTAACATAATTTTACATAAGGGTTGAATGATTCTCTCCAAATTATTGACTCTTGGAACTCAATCAACCCCATTTATTGAAGATAAATATCATCCCAAATACATATAATCATCCATCATACCATATTGATATTTCTTTTGGTCTAAAGTTGAAATATAACCAAAAAATGATGAATAATGTATATACATTACTATGATTTATAATCTATAAACATATTTAACATATAAATTTTCATATTTACATTCATATCACTAAATTTTGTAACATTCAACAAATATATCATCAATATTACCATTTTAAAAGTGAAATAGACATTATTTTTATGTAAATGTTTATGACATTAGGGTGTTATAGGGGGCTATGCATGTAAATTTCCCAAAAAAATTATTTCAATATGCGAACATTTAAAATGTTCTCCATCACTCACATGAGATGTTTGGTTTTTGGCATACAATAAAATTATTCCTATAATATTCATTTATATATGTCCCTCTATTAGTCACCATTATTTATAAAATATTATTTGGTTTTTTTTATTTAAAATTTTGTATATATCATACATTTCTTATGTATTTACATATCTAACCCCTAAATTTTCATATTTATATGCATTACATTTTAGTCTCATAAAGTTATTTATAAAAAGATGTATTTCATTTTTTTTAAATAAGTAATAGTAATATTTTTTATGTAATGTTATAAATTTGAGGGCTATGCATGTCAATTGTATGGGTGTACAAGCCCACATTTTGGGGGATTTATGGCGAAATTATACCATCTTTGTAGTATATTTAATTGCTCATATAAATGTCTTCTTCGATTATAGGGGTGGGTTTGTGCTAGGCCTGTCAAAAAAGCTCGTTATTTGCGAACAGCTCGTGTTCTGCTCGTTAAGTAGACGAGCCGAACACGAAAAAATTTTTAAAGCTCGAATTATAAATGAGCCGAACACGAACAACTTTTTATTCACTCGTATTCGGCTCATTTTAGCTCGAAATAAAAAATTTATATAACAATATATTACATATATTATTTACATAATAATATATTATTTATATTTATGTCTAAATTTAAATCATAATGTCTCATGTGACAATGTGGTTAGGGTCTTCTTTTGTATATATTTGGTTTAGGTTCGAATCCCACACTTTACATCTATTTTTCTTAATTTAAATTTAACGAACCAATTTCGAGCCGAACATGAACACACTGTTCACAAGTCAATTTCGAACACGAGCTATTTCGAACGAGCCGAACACGAGCCAAGCCTTTACAACCCTAGTTTGTGCCCCTATGTAACGAAAAAATATTCTGTCAGAATGTCTCCACGTCCGGACGTGCAACCACCGACTGCCACGTTGCCCGCCGATGACTTATATGGCGATGTGGAGTCCAGTGGATGACCGTCCGGACGAGCGGTATCCCGACGGAATATTTTCTCTTCTGTAACGCATGCATTCTTTTTTATAAAACTCTAAAATAAAAAATTTTCCCTTTTTCTTACACCGAATAATAATAATAATTATTATTATAATAGTGGGCATTTACATGTTTAACATACAATTCTTACGTATTTACCTTTCTAACATCTAACCTCTCATATTTACGTAGATAACACTCACAATTTAATGTATAACTCTATGACACCAGAGTGTTATGAATGTAAATATGAAATATCAGGTGTTTGATAAATAAAATAAATAAGAATAATAAAACAGAAATTTCACAGGAATTCAGGAGGGAAAGATCTATCGACTCGCATTTAAATTTTTTTTAAATTTTCATCCAAAATTATATATTTACAGCCCTTTATAAAAATAAGTTTAATAAATGCATGTATTTCTAATTTGTATAAATAACAAAAATTCTTTTCTTTATAAAAATTCCCTGTTAATCGGGACAAAATATTGCATCAAGACTCCGCAAATAGAGTTACGTGTAGAGTCCAATGAAATCACGCCACGTGGAGGTGACGACAAAAAAAAATCGGCCAAGTAATACAGGGGAATATTCTCCTCGTGCTATTTTGTGCTATTTATGTGTTATTGTATGTGATTTACGTGTTATTGTGCTCTGAGAATATTATCTGTGTTATAATAACACAATAACACAATAACACATCAATAACACTTGAATAACATTGAATAAATAACACATGAATAACACGGGAGGAATATTCTTTTGTGTTACCGGACATATTTTGTTTTTATTTTTTTTATGTCACCGTCAGGTGGCTTGATTTCATTGGACTCCACACGTAAGTCTACGTGCAGAGTTCTGATGTAATATTTTCTCGTTACTCAGAGGGGATCCCGTTGTCAAAATCTGATTTAAGAAAAATCAAAGATTATGATGAGATAAAATTTTATTATTAATAAAAAATGGGCATTTACATATTTACCGCCTAATTCTCATGTATTTACATATCTAACACCTAAACCTTAATTTTTGCCTTCGTACCACCCAAATGCCCAAATCGTCTAAAAAGCGAAATACATATTTTCATACATAGATAAGACAAACATGCACGTAAAAATCGAAGTTTAGACATCAAAATATAAATACATAAGGCTTAAGTGCCATTTATATAAATAATTTTGTCTTGTTATGTGGCCTAACAAACAAAGGGATGTGAGACCAAAATTTATAACTAAAAAATATTAATGGGGGGGTATTGCGCCCTAGAGCTTCTATAGTTATCACCTTGAGAAGCCAAATAGCCACATTAGCCCCCTACAAAACTACAAATTATTTGCAATTGGAATAACTTTTTATAATTACATTATATTATAATCAGTCGGTAAACTTCTCAAAAGGAGGTCGCGTTATTAAAAAAAATTGAACTTTGACGAATATCGACATGACAATCAACCATACCTGACCCGAAGTTACTCAAGTTAACCTGAACCCGTATTATTTGAGTCGGGTTTTGGCCAAAAAGATACAAAGAGTATAAAAAACCAAGTATAAAGTAGAGAGCTTATTATTTGAATAAAACTCTATATATATATATATTACTTTATACCATTGTTATAATAGTCTCAATCTAAGAGCTTAGCATCCCTGAAATGTACACCTAAGGATAATCTTTGACATAGGAGTTGAAAGTGATAGAGATAGAGATAGAATGAGAGAGAGAGAGAGAGAGAGAGAGAGAGAGAGAGAGAGATGACTTGACTTCCATGTTCCAGCCACCAACAAAAGCACTATAAAACAAGCAAATAAATGTATAAAAAATGAAACAATAAATAGTTGCATCATTTATATATATATATAAATATATATATATATATATATATATATATTTAACACACCATTCAATGTTTCCTTATATGCAACACCATTCAATGTTTCCATTCAATATAAATGACAGGAATCCAATGTTCCATTTCGCTGAACTCTCCCTTTTATGACAAAACAGCCCACTCCAACATCAGAATATGAAATAAATTTTTTCCATTTTAATTACATACATACCACCTTAAACTTGCTATTAACAAATCTACCACTCTCCTTCATCCATTTTGCAAATTCTCTCTTAAATATCAAAATGCATGGTAAAACTCCTGACTCGTATTTTTCATTTTTATCAAATTCACGTGACATGCATAAATACATCGCTTCCGTGGGTGATTTTCACACATTTCCCCCTCTTTAAACTTATGAGGAAAAATTGTATAATTATATATCATGTAAAAATTTTAATTTAGGTCATCTTGCATCGAGGGTTGTGAAGTAGCCGAGTCAAGTTTGGGGCACCTTTAACTTGAGATTGAACTTGATTAATTTTATCGAGTCGAGCTCAAGTTTAAGTCATAGGTTCGAGCTAGCTCACGAGTCAGTTTATTTATTTTAAAAGAGAGAAAATAAGATTAATTTAAAGTTGTGTTATTGTTATACTAAAATGACAAATAGAATAAGTAATTATGCAAAAATAAGTAAGAAATCACTTCATATTAAATATAAAATATTATTTTTTTTATATTTTAAAGATAAAGCCGCTGGATCATGAGTTAATGAGTTGAGTCAGAGCTAGCTCAAACTTAGCTTGTTAGCTTATCGAACTCAGCTCACGAGACACTTTTCAAGCGGAGCTCACGATGACCTAACTCCCTCACACCCTGCTTGTATCTATATAAATTATAAAAGCTTATTCTTATTTTTTTTTAAAATGGAAAATTTATATACACACCACTCAATTCTTATGTATTTACATATATAATGCCTAAACTTCAATTTTATATATATATAATTTGATAAATTTACATACATGTCAATAAATTCTTGTGTATTTGCACATCTAAACACCTATAAGACATGCACCCACAATTTCATATTTATATTTATTACAGCTTGATGTCATAAACTTATTGAAAACTATATTTAAATTTTCAAGGACACTGATTACTGATACTTTTAATGTGAATGTTTAGATGTTTGTGTGTGTATAAATGTAAATGTATAATATTTGAATAATTAGGCGTTATGTTTTAGTTAAAATAATATATATATATATATACAAAAATTTATAATCAATTAAAATTAACAATTTAAAAAATATAATAAAAAAATTAAGTTATATTTGAATAATATTTTAATATAAATAATAATATTTAAGTCTCACTCTAGCCTAACATCCTATAGTTGTGTGATTAGAATTGTCAAAACGAGTTTTTGCTCGCAAATAGCTCATATTCGTCTCACTAAACAAATGAGCTGAACACAAACACCTTTTTTTGTTCGAAATATAAAACGAGTCGAACACGAATAGTAAAATTTTTTAACGAGCAAAACACGCGCTAACATTCGTTTACACCTCTCTCTCTCTCTCTCTCTCTGTGTGTATTTATATATAGATAGATTAACTAAAATATAACACTTAATTATAAAAACGTCTAACATCCTACAGTTGTGTGATTAGAGTTGTCAAAACGAGTTTTTGCTCGCAAACAGCCGTGTTCGACTCATTAAGCAAAGGAGCTGAACACAAACATATTTTACTTTTGTTCAACATATAAAACAAGTCGAACAAAAAAAGTAAATTTTTTTAACGAGCAAAACACGAGCTAACTTTCGTTTACACCTCTATTTCTCTCTCTCTCTCTCTCTCTCTCTCTCTCTCTCTCTCTCTCTCTCTCTCTCTCTCTCTCTCTCTCTCTCTCTCTCTCTCTCTCTCTCTCTCTCTCTCATATTGTAGATTCCAAATAAATATTTACTCGGGATATCCGAACCCAACTTCCTTTTTTTCAACCTAATCCAGCACGACTATATTAATGGCTTCCCATTACAGAGAGCGAGGAGGCAACAAAGATGGGCAGAAAGCTTTGCCTCTCCTCCCTCTTCTTCTTCAGAATCAGAGACGCTCCCAAATCCCTCTCCTCCTTCTCTTCTTCTTCCTCTTCTCCTCGATCGTGGCCCTGCTGCATTCTCCCCAAAACCCACTCCTTCCGCCGCGCCGACGACATCTTCAAGACGGTGAACTCCATCTACTTCGACTCACACGACTCCTTCCTCACCTTCTCCGAAGAAGAAATCAAGAGCTTCTCCGCAACCTCCGCTTCCGGCGATTCGTACAACTCCGTCGAGAATGTCATTCGACGGCTGCCGACGGCTGCGATCCGATCGCGGCTCTTCTTCGATCCCGGCGAGACCAGCTCGTCGATCATGGTGAAATCGAAATCGGCCGGCGAAGTCCTGTTCAAACAGAGCATCGCGATGACGGTTGATTCGGAGGACCCGTCTAGGGATTTTAGGGTTTCGATGGAGGAGATGGTGGCGGCTAATGGGGTCAAGGAATGGGAGAAACTGGTTGAACTTTTTGTTTGGTTTCTTAGGGCGAATGGGAAGGAGAATCATGGATTTATATTTGGGGCTTTTCTGGAGTTGCTTGTGGGACTTGCTGCTTCTTCTTCTTCCTCTTCTTCAGCTTCCTCTTCTTCTTCCTCCTCCTTTGTTTCTAGGGCTTTGGAGATTGAGGAATTGCAGGAAGAATGCGAGTTGTGATGAATCCGTGTATGATACTTCGGTTTAGCCAGAAATTTTCTTCGGTTTCCCATTTTTTTTTTCTTTTTCAATGAAGCCTTTTTTTGCAAAAAATTGCATAGTTTGATGCTTCTGCAATTACAATTTCGTTCGATTTGTAAATATTAAGGAAAGATTTGTTTCATGTTTTTCCATTTTTGCTTTCTTAGGGCATTTATATCCATACCACATAGTTTTTATGTTTTTACGTCGCGTCTAATTATTGCGTGCGTAGAGCGCAAGTACTGTCATACAGCCGCGATGCGTGGCTGTGATTGGAGAGTGCACCCAGCTCTGTGTGGGATCTCCGCACGTAATAATCGCTCATTAGCAAAATAACTTTTTTTTTTCTAATAACTACTCAAAATATTATATATAACATTTTAATTATCCAAACTATAAATATATAATATAATTTTTTTTTCAAATTTATTTTAAAAAATATTTAAATTATTTATTTTATTTGGAGAAAAATATTATATATAAAATAATAATAATAATCGATATTAAAGTCCTTTTTAAAATAAATACATAATTTTTTAAAATATTTTGAAATATAAATATGTGGAAATAGATAAATGAGAAATTTAAATATTTAACACATAATTTTTATGTATTTTCATGTCTAATAATTTGATATTTACATTTTACGCTTATAAGCCGTTGTGTCTAAACTTGTGCATGAAAAATTATATTTTAATTTTAGAAAGATAATGATAGTGGTAATTTTTTTATGGGAAGTTAGAAGATTGGGGGTATATTTGTGGATATAAATGTATAGGTGTTAGATATGTAAATAAATAAAAATTATTCAATATATATAGTGGTTTTAAAAATAGGATCAAACCAATTAGTTCGATCAATTCAATCGGTTGAAACGATCATTCAATCGATTCATAGGATCAAACCAATTAGTTCGATCAAGTCAATCGGTTGAAACGATCATTCAATGGATTCAGTCCAAGATTAAAACTTTTTATGCACATAATCATTATTGAACATGTTAGAACATGAGTTGAACCGACGAATCGGGATTACTATAAATAAGATATTTAAATAAAAAAATAGAGAAAATATTATGTATTAAAATTTTGATTTAAAATATTATTCAAAATATTCGAGAGCATTGTCTTAAATTAAAATATTATTTATAAATTTGATAAAAAATAAAATTAGTATATCATTGAATATTATTTAAATTATATTATTTTTTAAAAATATTTATTATGTCATCTAGTCCAACTCTCATTCTTTATCTTCGATGTCCGACTTTTTGCATCCATAAGGCTGGTGTCTATATGCACACACACACACAAATATATATAAATATAGGTGTCGCATTAGTTGGTCGGACCTCTGCTTGTCAGTTGTAAGTCTCCTCTGGTCTGAGTTTCGATTATTCCCGAATGTAGTGCGTCGTACTCGAATTTTAAGGCGCATGAGAGATGATCGTGACTCGTATACCATATCGGGACATATGCTGGATCGAAGCGGAGCGGAAGAATCTGTCCAAATTGGGAAGCTACGTGGGTTGGGGTGCGGGGGCGAAGCCCCGTGGTATGGTATATGAGTAATGTTGTAATTACTTGTTCTGCCTAGGTTTACTCCTGGGGTTATAAATAGGCATGTTAGTAACCCCATGAGGTATCCCTCTATTCTGTAACCTCTTTTCTGAATATTGAAAGGAACTCGCCGCTCTGCTCCCGAGGACGTAGGCATCTTTGACGAACCTCGTTAAATCTCTCTGTTCTTTTGGATTTGTGTCATTACTATTTTTCTTCGTCCTAATTTTTCTCAATATATATATATATATATAGAGAGAGAGAGAGAGAGAGAGAGAGAGGTTAGTTTTATAAATAAAAAAGTTAAATATCATAAAATTGTAATATTTAGTTGAGAATTCAATCATAAATATGGGAGAATATCCATTTTATAAATAATCAATTTTAAGGGGCCTTTACATGAAAACCAAAATTTTTATATATATTTAGCTGATGAAAGTTAAACATTTATATTTAAATGTTGATCCAAATCATTAATATTACATCAAGTATGTCACTATTTTCACGTTTAAGGTAAAATTCATATTTTCTTGCAGACTAAAATACTATAAATATAAATATTAAAGTTTGGGTATCAGGCGTTAAAATACATGAAATAGTGGGGCGTATATGTAAATTTCCTAATTGCCCTAAAATGTACTAATCCAAGAAATTTGCTTGCCTGCGTCCGAGAGGAGAAAACGAGAGGGGGTTGGTAAAGTCCAGTGTGGTGGGTAAAATGCTCCAGTTCCCTCCGTTCATGCGGCAGTTCCCTTCGCCGCCTCTCATCCCTTCATCCACACTGCTTCCATTGCTGGCATCCTCTCACAATGATGAGCTGCTACTCGCCATGGAGGAATCTGAGCTCGAAGATCGGGTACTTCTTTTTTCCTTTTTACCGGCAGACCATTGGTCTTAATTTTCATATCTTGATTGCTTGAATAGGGTGTCACATTGGACCGGCCGCACCTTATGCCTGACGCATTCAGAGGATTTTATTGTAACCTTCGCAGAGGTAAGAATTGAGACTTATTGCTAAGGTGATAGTGTGTTACTCACCACAGATATTATAAGGAGCCAACATTAGAGCTTGAACTATTTCAAGCTAGAGGACAAATATTTTTATTGATGTCGTCTTTGCTCCACGTCCGATGGACACCTTTCCTTGCGTAGGTATTTAGCTTGTATGCCCTTGGGGTGACCTATTTGTCGATAATGAAGGACTTCTCTCGGACGTGATTGCTGTAATATCGAGTCGTCGGCCTCTTTACTTCCTCCACGTTCAACACAATTTTTAGAATGTTGAATCATAATTTGTTCAGAGAGAGAGAGAGAGAGAGAGGGAGAGAGAGAGAGAGAGAGAAGAGTTAACATTAATATATAATAAAACATCTTTGTTTATTAGTTTTTTCTCATAAAATGATCTCCCTATTTATAAAGGACAGAGTACAATATAGTGATATTATATTTTTGTCATTTCTTTTAATGAGAAATATACATGATATTCTAGACATTTTACGTATGTGCATGCTCGATTCCCTATAGCTCAATAGCTAGGCTACTACAATTTTAACTCAGTGAGTTTGATTTGGTAGGCTAGACTTAGTTGGTGTTACAAGTCTGGTGAGCTTGATTAACTTTGGGTAGGTAGTGCTGACTTGGTCAACTAAACCTTACCGATCAGTTAATCTAATCTCGCCGTCAACTCTAGTTCCCTGTACGAAGAGCTTCTGTTGGCAGAACGAGACTTAGTTATCGATTAGAGGTTGAATCACTGCAACCCGATAGATAACTCATTTCTTTAAGATGATTATATGACTCTATTGTTTTAGCAATTCTTGGTACTTGATGAGGAGAATCAGGGGTGTTCGTAGGATAACCGACACAGATGACAACATTCTATTGGTGGGCATTCTTTGTTGTACTTTTTTTGAACCGTTGCATCTTCTTGAGATTCGTGCTGACACATTTTTGTTGAACAATTTAAAATTCAATTTTGATTTTTTCAGTCTATTTACTCAGTTCAAATGAACATCAAATTTAAGCGAGGCAACCAAAAAAAAAATTATGTCATTTAATATTAATCTTTATGAATTTTGATGACTTTGGATTAATCAAATATTATCTTTTACATGGTAAATTGAATTGAAAAAGAAAACCCCATCCTTTAATCTAAATTATTCCATGCATTATATGAGATTATTTTACTTGTCAACATAAATAATTAAATATGTATGAATATTTTTATTTTGTTTCTACTCAGAGAGACATAAGTGTCGGAGAGAGAAAATATAAAATGCCTTTTTTGATTAAATATTTTGTTCCATATTCTTGCCGACATATTATTTTTTAGCAGTGGATAAGACTGTGCGCCTCAGTAGCATTACTCTAATTATTGGTACATTTACCTGCATACCTCTTAATTTTATGTATTTACCTATTTAATAATTAAATTTAATTTTTTATACCTATGTAGAAAATGTGTATATCACTTCCTTAAATTAAAATAATGGTATTTTTTTAGGAGAAATAGATAATTTGGGTGTAATGAATGTGTTAGGTATGACTCTGATACCTATTGTTAAGACATTTAGGGCGAAGAAAAATAAAAATCAACACAAAACGAGAGGAACACAAAGATTTAACGAGGTTCGATAAAGTTGCCTACATCCTCGGGAGCAGAAAAACGAATTCATTATTTCAGATGAGTCCACTTTGGTGTAAGAAACTCCACGATGTATTTCTCATAAGAGGCTGAGTATTTGCAAGGTGGAGATTTTTCTTCTAAAAGACTGGATATTCGCCAAGGTGGAGAATTGTTAGGTATGACTCTCATACCAATTATTAAGAAATTTATGATGAAAAAAAACTGAACTCATCTGAAATAGTGAATTCGCCGCTCTGCTCCCAATGATGTAGACATTTTCGCCAAACCTCATTAAATCTCTGCGTTCTTCTAGTTTTGTGTCGATTTCTGTTTTTCTTCGCCTTAAATTTCTTAACAAAATGTATAACTTTAAATTTAATTATTATATATGTAAATACATAAAAATTGGGTGAATGTATGTAAATGCGCCATTTTTTAAAAATTATTTTAAATTAACGATTTATGAACCTAACGGCTATTTTCTTGGACCGTTACCTTTTCAATTAAAGGTGTTATTATTTTCTTTTATTTAAAAATAGTAATTTCAAAATCTTCATTGATTTTATTTGATTTCGACAATATTTATATATACATACATATACATACATACATGTATATATATATATATATATACTATAAGAAGTCACGGGATTCATCACATACAACATAAATTGATCGGTCCAATTTTATATAATTTATTAAAATCTTAAATAAGGAAATAATAAATTGAATAATGAATCAATTTATGCAAATTAAAAAACATAAGTTAAATTCAACTCAAATTAAACAAAATGATATTTCAATTTAATTTAATTTAACAAATTGCTGAATGGGAAAAAGCTCATAATTTACAAGCCAATTTCTCT